CAAATAGTACTGTTACAGTGTTCCAAAAGTACAGAGAAAGCACATGTAGCCAATGCGAATGATTCAGAAAAGCGAATTTTTTGATATATCGTATCTAATGAAAGAATTCTCAGCAAACGCTGTGGCAAGGGGAAAAAGACAAAAATGGATTGCATGCTAATATACAAAAAAGGTATGCGCAAAAATAGTGTATATGTACAAAAAAATTGCATTTAAAAAAGGCAACAATTTTAAAAAATCCAAAACATACTACTTGTTGCGAAAAAAAAACACACAAACTATTGCCTGTGCAAATATTGATACTACAGGACTACAGAGGTTTGGCAACCCTTTTCTTCTTCAACGCCTCAAAAAATTTGCTCGTCCCCGGCTTCGGGTCACTCAGCGGCGATGTCCAGAGCGCCGATGAAGTTCTTTTCGCATATCGGCTACGGCTTTTTAAGAAGATTTTGGTGAGATTAGGCAGACGCACCGGCCCGAAAAAAGTATCAGCATCGATGCTCGGGTGTAATATCTGCTCCTCTAAAGCTCGGTTTAACGGCCCATCTGCAAAAATAAAAAGTCTGCAGCAGTCAGACATTGTAGCACTTGTAGATTTTCTGAGGTTTCGCTGGTGAACAGTCCGAGAAGAAGCAATGATCAATCAGTCGATGTTCCAATTCTATCAGTGTGAAAATCAATTCCATTCTAATTCGTTCACTCGCTTAACGGCTTTTTATGCGTTATGTAACGCAGAAAACGCATACTGACTAGGGGTTATCAGTGTGTGCGTCTGTACCGATTTTTCATCCCAGGACCTATAAAAGCTGCAGGGTTGAAACTTTGGGAATTTAATCTGCATGTGCGTACGGGCTCCAATCCCCAAAATGGTTGTTCTTACCGGCGTGGTACCCACGTATGGATCCGTGAAAATTTTCTTCGGGTAAGTTGCTAATTTGGAAACCTGAGAAGCTAGAAGGCTGTAATTTTAAGGGGATGTTCCCCGTCCATGTAGGTTTTAAGGAGTTCAAACCTAGCTTCCGAATATGCGTGGTTTCTATGTACGAGCCTATGAAAGTTTTTTGCGGTAACTTGCTAACTCGGGAACTAGGAAAGCTAGAAAGCTGAAATTTTAAAGGAAAGCTTCCTGGCAGTTCTGGTGGTCATTCTCAATTCTTCCAGCTAAAAGCGTCTACTGGAAAAAAGCAGTGCCGTTAGCGACAAAAATTTGCGGGGAACTATGAAAAAAATGCATATTAACACCACCAGTTGATGCGCTGACCATTTGTTGATCTTGAAATGCACCAAGAGTTAAAAGTACTAGCTTTCTGATTCTATGCACCTCTAAGAAAGTTGCTTATAGCTTTTCCAGGGGCTGGTTTCTGATGGTATGGTGCTATATTCACATAGCACAAGTCGCATTTGTATGAAATCGCATTGCGAACAACAGTTCCACGTATTCGTGCCCAGGTACGCGCCACTGAAGAATTATCATTTCTGCTATGTGCAAGTAAACGGCTTCCCCAGAGACTACTAGTTGCGCTATTATTATTGATATTATCCAGTCGAATTTTTCTACCACAACACCGAACGCAAGAACTTAAAAACGTTATCATCTTTGATCATTTTTTAGCATTTTTAGAAAACTGCAAAGGAAGTATCAAAAAGGTTGACCTTGTGCCCAAAGTGGGATTCGTTTGCGCGGTTGTGTTTCGTCGTCCGTTTCGTCACCCGAGGATAAGTCATCGATGTTGTAGTTGTCATCAGCACTGTTCGGTGACTCATGTCCATTTGAAATATCCATACTGAAACAGATGTCTCAGGTTTACTTGTCGAACCAAAAAGCACTAATGAATACACAGCGATGCGCACTAGGACAGCAGGCGCATCGTGTGTTTTGCAAGTTCCGATGCCTGCTAAAATTTTCACTACACAAAGTGTGTGCAAAAATATGTTTTCTGGTTCCTAAGTTGTATCCTTCGAAAATTTTAGCTATCTTCTCAGTTTTTTCAACTAAAAGCTTCCCATATGAAATTTTGCTTGACCGTCACTTCGACTTTCTAGTTTTTTAGGCCCCCGACTTCGTTGCTCGCGCGCCAAAACG